ATTGTAGAAAAATAAATTTAAAAAAAAATTGAAAGTAGACTTTCAATTTTCACTCATGACAGTCACAGACTATATTGTTGTTGAATTGTTTCAGTCATGTTGGACTCTTTGTGACCCCATTTGGGGTTTTCTTGGCAAAGATACTGTAGTGGTTTGCCATTTCCTTCTGCAGCTTATTTTACAGATGAGGACACTTTGGCAAACAGGATTAAGTGACTTACCCAGGATCACATAGCTAGAAAGTGTCTGAGGCCAAATTTGAACTCAGGAAGATGAGTCTTCCTGACTTCGGGCCTGGCACTCTATCCACTGCATCAGCAAGTAGCTGGGACTTAATAAATGTTTGTTGGATTTATGAATTAACCCAGTTTTCATGAAAATTGAGTCTCACCACATCCTCAAGATAAAGAGGCAGTGTCAGAGGCTGGATTTGAACTCAGGTCTTCCTGACTATCTCCTGTGCCACATAGCTGCCTCATACCACAGATATGACCTAAACACCTAAACACCTAAGATAGAGCACAGGTCTAGTCAGGAGAGCCCTGGTTCCAGGCCTGTCTCAGGCACTTACTAGCTGGGTAACCTCAGATAAGTTATTTAACTGCTGTTTGCCTCAGTTTCCTCATCTGTAAAATGAGGATAATAATAACACCTACCTCCCAGGGTTATTGTCAAATGAAGGTCAAATGTGATAATAATTATAAAGCACTTAGCACAGTGCCTGGCACCTAGTAAATGCTATATGAATGTTAGTTATTATTATTATTATTATTATTAGCAGCTATTAACTCCAAGGTATCTGCATGTTGCCCTCTAATGGCTATAAGCCGCAACTGCAGCTTGGTAGCTGAAAGAACACCCAGGAGAATGTGTAGCATTTTAGTTTTTATGAAACTAACCTTCCAATATATTTTACATGATTGCACATGTATAACCTATACCAATTTGCTTGCTGTCTTGGGGAAGGAGAAGGGAGGGAGGGAGAAAAATTTGGAACTCAAAATCTTTCAAAAAATGAATGTTGAAAATTGTCTTTACATGTAGTTGGAAAAAATAAAATACTATTTAATTCTTCCTAGAAAAAAATAAAATTAAAAATTAAAAAAAGAAACTTTCTAGATGAGGAAACTGAGGCCCTGGGGCCTTTACTCAAGGACACAATGTAAATTAGTGTTGCAGAAATTTGCAATTAGCCAAAACGGTGACTATAAACTATCCAAGCCCACATCCAGAGATCTCACTACTAGGTATATACCCCAAGGAGGTCAAAAAAAGAAAAGTCCTACAGACACCAACATATTCATAGCAGCATGTTTTGTAATAGCATGGAGCTAGGAACAAAGTAGATGCCTCTCAACTGTGGGATGACTAGGCAAGGTATAGTACTCAGATGGAATGGAATATTACATGTCTGCAGAATATTAAAAAATTTCAAGAAGTTTTGACTGTCTTATGTGAACTGATACAGGATAAAGTCAATAGAACCAGGAAAACGATACATTAACAGTAACCACAACGTAAAGGAACCAAAAAAAAACCAAAAACACCCGTCAAATGTAATTTTAATGACCCAAGCCTGGCCCCAAAGATAAGAAAAGAGAGGTGGGGGGCTGTGGATGTGGAACATTGTATATGCCAACAGACTGTTAATGTGTTAGTTTTGCTGAATTGTCTTTTATTATTCTATCTCTTTTTAATTCTTTGTTATAAGGAAGGATGTTCCTCTGGGGAGAGGGGGAGGCAGGTATGGATTCAGACGTGAATAATGAATATGATGTAAAAGTCAAAAATATTCAAAACTAAAGAAATAGTGACTATGAGAATTCTGAGAAATATAGGCAGACAGCTGATGGAAGAGTGATATAAGCAAATCCAGTAAAACAATATACAGAATGACAAACAAAAACCTCAAACTGAATTGTAATTATAACCAAACTTGGCCCCCAGAGAAAAGTTAAGAAAATGAATCTCCCTCCCCTCATTGTCAAAGTAGGGTAGTGTGAGTGTAGAATACTGCATCCTGTCAGATGTGATTCAAATATTGATTATTTTTGTTTAATTGCTTTTAATTTTTTCCTTTTTTTATTCTCTGTTGCTGCTTTTTTGTCTTTGCTCTCCAAGAAGACCCCGACATCAGGGATGCCGTGACTTACAAGTGAGTTGGAATTAAGTGAGGGAGAGCTGGGCAAAATCACCAGCCTCACTTTCTCCTCTGGACCCATCTGGGCCAGATATGGAATAGGACAACTGGAGATGGCCCAGGATGCAGTGAGGGCTCTCTGTTGTAAGAGATGGCATGACTAGCTAAGTTTCCTTCTTTTACTATTAAAGGCAAAAGACAGAAGAAAAAAAAAAGATCGAAATTAAAAGAAAAAAAAAGTTTGCGTTTTAGGGATTGAATAATTGCTCATATCTTCTGACCATCAAGACCAGAGTTCTCACTGCCCCATTAACAGTGGCCTGGTGTCCAAGACAAGAAACTTGCAAGGTGGACCCTAAGAGAGTGAACAGATAATCAGCATGGTTATGTGGTTTTCTTCTGGGGTAGAAGAAGCCGGGAGGGTTGGGTCTTGTGTTTCTGAGAAAGTGGAGTTTGGGGATTGGAGAAGACCACAGAGTTCATCTGGTAGCCCAGATTTCTTCTCCACTCCTCTACTAGCCCATATCCCATATCCCATAAACAGCTCTTCAAATCCCAACTTCCTCCAAGAAACTTTATAGAACTAGTAAGAAGAAATGGGACATGGCTTTCTTCTTTAACCGCCCCCCCCAACTGGCTAACTAGCTGTAGGGATCCAGGACCTCATAGCCCTTGACCCCCTACTACTTTTACTTTTGACCCAAAGAGGATGTTAAATTTATATGTGATTTTTAAGTAGGATGTCAGACTTACAGGCCCATTCTACACTCTGAAATGCAGAGACAATAGCAGAGAAAAGTGGGTTGTAAGCTGTCAAGTCCTATGCAAGTGCAACGAGAGCCTTCAATTAGATAAATAAACCATCTGGCTGCTGTGCTCAGAAACACCAGGCAAGAGGCGCAATCTCCTTGAGTCATTCACTGAACTTCGAAATTAGGGCCAGCAAAAATATTTCCCTGTCTTAGGTATTTTTCTCCCACTGTGTTTGTGTTTTTGTGCGTGTGTGTGTGTGTGTGTGTGTGTGTGTGTGTGTGTGTGTGTATGTGCCCCCTGCATATCTGTGTCTGCACAGTATGTCTGACTGGGAGCCTGCCCAAGGGCAGGGCCTGCCTGTGTCTCTCTGCCACTCACTCACAGTGACACAGCTACTTTGGGTGGTGGATGGCAATGCTTCCTTAAACTTTGCCAGGACTTTTCCATTAAGTTGGGGGAAATCCTTTTTGGGGAAGGGCCCAAGTTCAAGGAAACCCAAAAGACCTGAGCTCACTCCCCTGACACCCAAATCCTGGCCTCCCTCCTCTCAGACCCTTCCCTTCCAGGCACAAGCCTGTTGGGGTGTGCAGAAAGGGTCCAAGGCTGGGCCTTAGGGCGCCAAGCTGGCTAGCTCCCTCATTCTGGGGAGACACAGGCCCCTTGTTCTCCAGGAATCCCGGCAGGAGTGAGAGCTGAGGTGCCAGGGATGGATGCCAAACTTTTGGAGGCTTGAGCCCAGCCTCTGACTCCTTCAGTACAGGCGTCTTAGGAGTCTGGCCGAGAGCTGGGGGGTCTGGGATCCTGCTTGGAGTTCATCTACCCTGGGGCACTTGTGGGGAAGGAAAAAAAGGGAAGAAGCCGGTACATGTGTTTTGTAGGGAGACAAATATTTCAGATGACAATATTTCTGACAGAAAAATGTCCAAGCTAATCTGACAGGTAGAAGAAATATTCTGGATCTGAGGTTAGAGGGAATAAGATATCACTGAAAATTACAAAAGTAGGTTCTATGTACCATTTTTAGAGGCAGAAAGGCTTGTAGGGGGGATAGTGAATTCGACTAAAAAAACCTGGGTTCAAATCTCACCTCTGAATCTTACTAGTTTTGAGACCCTGGGTAAATCACTTTCATTTCTATGCACTTCAAGTTTCCTCATCTATAAAAGGAGGGTCTTGGGCTCAATGATGTTGAAAATTCCTTCTAGTCCTAGTACTGTGATTTTGTTGTTCGATCGCGTCTGGCTCTCCGTGATCCTGTTTTCTTGGCAAAGATACTGGAGTGGTTTGCCATTTCCTTCTCTTTTTACAAATGAGGTCCTTTTTACAATTCATTCTACAGATGAGGAAACAGACAAACAGGGTTAAGTGCCTTGCCCAGGGTCACACAGCTTAGTAGTATCTGAGGTCAGATTTGAGCTCAGGAAAATGAGTCTTCCTGACTCTAGGCCCAACACTATATCCACTGTTCCACCTCGTTATCCTTAGCGCTGTGATACCATGACCTTGATATCACTCCCAGTATTCCCTTAAGGGAATGGGCAGTTCACAGCCCAGAGAAAACACTTAACAGATGCTTGGCCACTGACTCAAGTCTCTCCCTCTTGATGGGCAAAGCCAAGGGCCTTGTGCTCTAGGTCCATCCCTCCCCTCCTGTACCATCTGGGAGCACTTCAGTTACAATGTTAGGAGGGGAGACTGACTCATAGACTGTTAGAGCTGAAAGGGTCATCTAGTCAAACCCTGTCATTTAACAGAGGAGAAAACAGACCCATGGAGGGGGAATGGAGGGCCCCAATCATCTAGGCTCTCCAGCTAATTCAGAGGCAGGACTAGTCCACAGGTCCTCTAGCTTTAAGTCCTGAGCTAATCTAACACTACACTGGATTTCCTCTGTCATCCCTTTGGTGCTCCCCTATTGCCCCACTCCCCACATATGTATAAAGGCAAAAAATATGTTTTGTGAAGCGTGGGCCGTCCCTTCCACGATCATCTGGGAACACCCTCTCCTTAGGATATCCACCTCAAGCAATCACAACCGGCCATCCAGTCCTCTCTCGTTGCCCCATCCACCCCTCCCACAGAATGGAGTTGACGAGAAACACTGAGCAAAAAAAAAAAATCCTCAATGATTTATTTGATGTCTTTGAGGGGCACCTGGTTTCTGTCTTGAGTATAAAAAAGGCAATAAATGGCACTGTACATGAGACATTACATGGAAAGGCTAGGGTTAGGGAAAGTGCTGGGGTTGAATGGATGGAAAAACACGGCCAGAAAAAATATGACCTTAAAGCAATGCTTCATCTTATCCACCTGGCCCCCTGACACCAGACACAGACATACAGAGGGATGGACATGGGGATGGACAGACACACACAGAGCTGTGGGGGGACAAACACTGTTTTGCCGATAGATGGGTTCCATCAGTCAGTCAGTAAAATACTGCAGGAAGCTACTGACCTCTCGGTGCTGTCCTTTGGGACCCCTTCCCCAGGATGACAGCTCTAGCTATTTGGCTCTCAGTGTCCAAAGAAGGAGTTCTGCCCTCCATCCCCATCACAGGTAGTGAGAAAACAGAGGTCAGAAGTGGATGAGGCAGGGCAGGGAGGGCGGCTGGAAGATTCAAAGTAGTCACACTATAGCCCGTAACAGGAAGGATAATAAGGCACCCAGGGCCAGGCCCAGGGAGAGGAAGAAGGCCATGATTGTACCTGCAGTCTCAGCCTCTGAAGGACTCACTTTCCTGGGGGAAGATGGGACAAAAGGCAAGGTTACTCCAAGACTACTGTACCCGGCAATCTCTTCTCCAGACCCAGGACTTCCTCCTCTTCCCCAGAGAAATCCTATACCCCCTTCCAGAATCCACGACACCCAGTTCTCAAACCCTTGGATACTTCTTTCCATCTACTCTACTCACTCTTTCAAAGATAAGAAGTTTATCAATTTAGAACTGGAAAGAACCAGTTCCTTTTTCGGAAGAGAGAACCAAGGCCCAGAGAAATAAAAAGTGACTTGCCCGGTGGTAATAAGTTATCAGAGGTGACATTTGAACCCAGGTCCTTGGAACTCCAAATCCAATAATCTTTCCAAAAATGTACACTTTATGCTCTCCTCCAGATTCAGGATAACTGTGACCTGGCTTAGGGCACCTCTCCCATAGCTCTTCTCCCTTCATTACTCCAGCACACATACCCTCCCCATTTGGTCCCCAACTCCTTGCTAGCTCTAATACTCACATAGCCCATTCAGCAAAGTGTTCCTTCTAGCCCATCCCCAGCATCCTTTATGGCCTTTGAGCCATCATTCTCCCTTCCCCCCTCAGAAGGAGGCTCCACCATCTCCAGCCTTCATTGCTCAGGCCCATATCCTGAATGGGGCCTATGATACCCCACACACCTGAAACTGCACCCTGAATATCAACTATGAAATGTCCTACAGCAAACAAACTACACTTCCCAGAATCCCAAGCTAGAAGCTAGCTTACTTCCTGCCTTCAGCAACAAGAGCTGCAGAGGATCTAGGGAAATGTATGCTGAGGATGCAGGTTGAATGCAGCATGCTGGATGGGCAAATCTTTAGGGAAGGGTAGCCAGAAGAGCTATGTAGGATAGAGCCGGGCACTCCCACTGGCTGAGGCTAATGGGTACCCAGACCTCTCTAACTGTTCACCAAATTTCCCAGTCTCAGACTTTGTCTGTCCTTATTTTCCCACACCCTGACCTTGCTTCTAGGTACACTTAATCCTAGAGGGAGGAGGCTGTCTTCCTCCAATGAGACTGAGGTTCTCAGGTGTACCAAAAGGATTAGCTCCCCACCCCCATTTCTCTCCCCGACCCCCCATCATGCCAAACTCAGAACTTTGAGCATGGACGTGCTGAGGACGATGATTCACATCAGATTCACTGGTCAAAGGATATACTGAGTTCCTGGGCCATCCTACCTGCTGGCTAAGGGTGCTGCCCCAGAAGTCTTGTGCCCAGAACCAGCCCTCCCCCTCTCCTCCCCATGCCCTGCTCACTCACTTGGGGCCAAAGCACATGCAGAGGCTAGCGAGGTAGCCATTGGAGAAGGCAAAGAATATCATGAAGATGATGAACCAGGCATCATGGTTGAAGACCACAGGCAGGTTCTTCCTTGGATGAACATTGCACAGCATCAGCAACGGCACAAACACAATCCTCGCCACTACCAGGGCAGGAAGTTGCCATCGGGTGTCCTTTTTCGGCTGTGGAGAAAAGGCCCCCCAAAGGTCCTTTGTCTCACTGACGGCCCCACAGCAAGGAGAGTCCTCTCCTAAGAGAGGGTCCCTACACTCACCACTCATTCATTCATTCATTCATTTAACATTTATCAATCACTCAATGAGCATTTATTAAGCTCCTGGCCTGGAGACACAAAGATAAATCAGAGATTCTAAACAGCAAAATAAAGCAGTGGAGGATCCCACATATGAGGTACAGCATGTGCCTCAATGAAGTCCCTGGCCCACTAACCACCCACAGGCGAGGACAAGTGATCGCCTGTGTGTTCAGATCTTTCTCTCTCTCTCTCTCTCTCTCTCTCTCACACACACACACACACACACACACACACACACACAAAGAGCACTCTATTCTGGGATATCTCTAAAAGCTTGTAGTCCAGGAAGCTGGACCAGAAACCCCAAACCTAGCTCCACCCACCACACATTCCTGGGTTGGCCAGTTTCAAAGCAGGAGAGGGCAGTTTAGATCCCCTTCCCATAAATAGCTACATGCTTTATTTACTGTTCCATCCTCCAACAAAGTCCTGTGGGGACTCTTACAACATCCCCACCCCCACAAGTCCTACTTACCCACATGTAGACAGTAGTGAGGCTCCGGCCAGCCCAGTCAAAGACATTGAAAGTGACGAAGCAGGAGACAGGAATGAAGTACTTTTCTGGAAGTGAGGCAGTGAAAAATTTTCAAATTAGTATGAGACCCAAAGTGGGGAGGGGGTGGGGTTAAGAGGCAGGACACAGATTCTAGTCTCAACTCTGATCTCTGTGTGGCCTGGAAGAAGTCACTGCCCTCTGCTAAGCTCATTGTTTCTCCAACCGTATGATATATCCTGCTTTTTACCTTCAGGAAAATGATATGAGAACAGAATAAAAAGATGGGAACAGGGAGACAAGGGTTAGGGACACCCTCCTGACCCCCCAAAGTCATTGACCCATTCAGAAGCAGATTTCCCAGTCTTCCCTCCACCAACCCAGTTCCCTATCGTCTCAAAAGGAAAGGGGTCATAAACTTGGTACCCTAAAGACCTCCAAATCCTGGTGAAGGTCTCTTCTTTTTACCTCCCTCATTCTCCAGGCCCTCCCCCTCCAATCCCACACCCAATCCTTCCCTGCCCACCCTGCCCTCCAGCTCTCACTCCAGTCACTGGTCCCTGCAATGGTGGACTGGACCTCAGCGGTCACAGAAGGGAAGATGCCGATGGTGATGGTGAAGACAAAGCAGACAGACAATGCCAGAACCCAGATCTGGGAATTGGAAGAAAAGGGGGTGGTTTCCTCCAGAGGGCACTGGAGCAGGTCGGGGGATAGAGGTGGGGATGGCAGTTCAGTTTCATTCTTGGATGTGTGCTGGGGAGGGGGGTGGAGTGATGAGAAGAGGGGAAGAGAAAAATAAAAATAAAAATCTCTCTTCTCCTGGACCCAGCTACCAATAACACAAGGTCAAAAATGAGGAAAATCATAGATTCAAGATGGGGGAAGAGAACAGAAAGGGTCAAGGCCAACGGGGTAACGGGGATGGGGGAGGACAGGATATGGAGGCAGAAGACCCAGGCTTTCTACCCCTGTCTACCTGTTTGAGGATAGCTATGATGGACGGCCTCTCATGTGCGTTGGGATTTGACATCCCTCCTTCTCCACTATTGGCAGAGTTTTCTCCTGGGGAGAAGACAAGATAAATACATGAAAGGTCATGAATTAGAGGAAAAATAAACTTCTTCTCTTATATAGAATTATACAATCATAGATTTAGAGCTGGAAAGGAATTCTGAAGTCATCTAGTCCAGCCACCTCCCACCCCAACCCCTCATCTTATAAATGAGGAAACTGAAACCCAGGGACCTTAGCCAAGGTAACATAGTATCAGAGGCAGAATTTTAACCCAGACGACCTGACTCCAGGGCAAGTGCCCTTTCCACTGTTTAGCCTCATCTCCTCCCAAGTGGAACCTACTTCCCAAACCGTACCTCCACCTTGTGCCATCAGCAAGGTCCCAGGTCACTGGGAGAAAGACCCCAACAGGGACCCACAAGACAACCATTTCACAGTCCCACTTGACACAATCTCCATGTTCTCTGCTACTCCCTTTCCACAAAGAACCCTAGAACCTCAGAGCTACTACTCATCACTTGGGTCACAAAAATGGCCTCTTGCCTTCTCGAGGCTCCCTTCTCTAATCTATATTTCACCCTGTCCCTACTAGAGGTATTTCCTTATGGAAATACACTATTTTTCATGTGTCACATATCAGAGAGGGAGCTCACTGTCGTGAGGAGAAAGCAGGCCTTGGTCAAGATGTCTGAGATCAAGCTCCCCCTATAACACATACTGGCTATGACTATGGGTTATTCCAGGGATGAGGAACCTGTGGCCTCGAGGCCACATATGGGCTTCGAGGTCCTCAGGTGTGGCCCTTTGACTGAATCTAAACTTCACAGAACAAATCCTTTATGAAGGGGATTTATTAATCACTTCCCTCTAGGCCAGTCCTCTAAGACTATACATTGCAGTATAGTTACTGATCTTAATTAATTAGTACAGGGAATTTCCTCAGTAAGGAATTTCCCTATTAAAATGACATGAAATCACAGGCCTAGACCTCCCACCCCCACACCCCCTCCATACACATGTTTACTATGGTTTACTTCATCACAAACAAAATCATTTCCCTTTTAATAGCCTCTATAATTCAGTCTTGAGCTTCTTACTCAACCTCCTTATTCTTCCCCCCAAAGGTACTCTCTGTTCTAGTCAGTGATTTCCTCAGTGGCCTACAAACATACTACACTCCTATTCCTCTGTGGAAAAGTGGAAAGATAATAGGATTTGGAGTCAAAGGACTCCATGGTCTAGTGGATAGAATGCTGGACTTGGAATCACAAAGACCTCAATTCAAGGCAGCTAGGTGGTACAGTGGATAGAGCACTGGCCCTGGAGTTAGAAGAACCTGTGCTCAATTCTGGCCTCAGAAACTTAATACTTACTAGCTGTGTGATCCTATGCAAGTCACTTAACACCGATTGCCTTGCCAACAAAAAAACAAAAATACAAAGATCTGAGTTCAAATCCCACCTCGGATATGTACTAGCTATAGAATCCAGGCAAGTTGTTTAAATTCTCTGGGACTCAGATTCCTCATCTGTAAAATGAGGTTTTCACTTATCACCTTCTATATCCCTTCAAGCACTAAGATCTTTGATCCTTTAACTCTATATAATTTAACAGTTTGATATAACAATAAAAAGATGTGATATAATAATAAAGCATAACCATAATAATAAATGCTTATTGATTGATAATAGTATCCTGGGCACTAAAAGGAACATAATATCCAAATCAAGTCCACAAGCATTTATTAAAAGCCTATGGAACTATGCTAAGCACTGAGGATATAAAGACAGACAACAAAAAAAAAAACAATTCCTGCCCCTGAGGAGCTCCCAATCTAACTGGGGAGTCAACATACAAGCAATGATGTGAAAACAGGCTACAGACAAGATAAACTGGAGATAATCACAGAGAAAAGGCACTAAGAGGTGACTAAAAAGGTCTAGGAAAGGCTTCTCCTTTGTAGAAGGTGGGATTTTAGTTGAGACTTGAAGTAGCCAGAAGGCCAAGATGAGGAAGAAGAATCATTCCAGTGTCGAGGCATAGCCAATGAAAACGTATGGAGTTGGGAAAGGGAGACAGGGACACAAAGAAAGGCCTGCCATTACAGAGTTTGCAAGCTAATGCTGGTTCCAATCTATTCTGTTCTGGCCAGGCCATTATCTCTAGAGCACCGAGTTCAACTCTGGGCACTCTATTTTAAGAAAGAGGTAGACAAGCTGGAGTGTATCCAGGAGAGGATGGTTGAGAGGAGAGGAGAACATACTTTATGAGGATCAGTCAATAGCCTGGAGAAGGTAAGACTGAGAGGTGACAGAGGACAGCTATTTCCAACGATGTAAAGGGCTAGACTTGTTCTGTTCGAACTCGAAGGGCAGGAACTAGGAGCAATGGATGGAAGTCACAGGAAGTCAGTTTTGGATCTGACGCCAGGAAAAGCTTCCTGACAATCCGAGCTGTTTGAAAATAGAAGAGGCTTAGGATCATTCACTGGATGAGGACTTCTTAGGTCATTTAGTGCTCACTGTTCAGATGCGAGTACCAGCTGGGTAAAGTAGAAAAAGAGGGGATTCTTGGATGGGTCAGACTAACCGCCAACTGAGGTCCCTCCTAGTTCTTGGGTTCCTTGCTTTTGTGAACTTGGGCAAGTCCCTTCTCCTTTCTGGGCTTCTGTTTCCCCCCAGAAGTAAATCGAAGACAGTAACACTACCCAAGAGGAAGTGTGGCTTAGTGCAGAGGTGTCAAACTTGCAGGACCTCCGCAAAATTCCTGAGTGAGCCAGAACCAGATGAAAACGTAATTGATAAATGTTTAACAAAATAAACTGAAAAATACAATACAACATAGATAATGTTAATTTGTGGTTTTCTAAGTCAATGATCAGGTTTCTATTTGAGTGATTCCACTGGCCACCCTTGAAGTGTAGAAGACCTGGGTTAAAGTCCTACTTGCACATGACCCATAATGGCTGTGGGACCCTTGGCAAGTTCCTTTAATCTCTTCAGGCCTCAGGTGAAACATCTCTAAGACAGGAATTTTCAAAGCAAGAATGGATCAGCTTTTGGTAAAGGAAATTCCTCACCAGGAACACTACTGCAATCATAAGTCCAGTCCAAAAAAAAAACTACCTACTTTTCACTGTGGTGGTGAGGAAATCACCCTTCTGACCTCTAAAATGCTATATAAGGGGCAGCGGGTATGCCTGGGCCCCTCCCCCAGCCCCATGACTCCAGTGGATGCTTCTTTGGCCCTTTGGGCCACCTGCACATCTCCGTCTTCACCATCCTCATGATTCTCACCAAGGATACCTTTGGCAAGGTGATGCTAGCCGAGAAGACACTGAGTCTCTGATGAGCTGTTTGCCATTAAGATCCTAGAGAAGGATATGATGGTGCAGGTGGCAGACTAAAGAAGAAGCCCATCCTGGCTCTGGGGGGGGGGGGGTTGCAGGTGGGCAGCAGCTACACTCCCTTCCATCTTCTAGGTTACCAACTATACTTTGTGATGGAGTCCATGACGGGTGGGAACCTCCCGTACCACATTTCAGCAACTGGGCAACTCTGGACCTCATTCACTCATGCTGAATGTGGATTCAGCAGTTGGACAAGTTTACAGGTACCTCATGTACCACACTCACTAGCTGGGCAGGTCCTATTTAGGGAAACTGCCATTGGCCTCATCTTCCCACACAACCAGGGCATCATCTACAAGAACCTGAAGCTGGGTAATGTGATCTTGGACACACACAGACACATCAAGATCATGGACTTTTTTTTTGGCATGAGCAAGGAAATCATCTCCCCTGGGACCACAACCTGGACCTTCTGTTGGATCTTGGACTATGTCGCCACTAAGATTATCGCCTACCAGTCCTATGGTAAGACAGTGAACTGGTGGTCCTTTGGAGTCCTGCTGGAGGAGATGCTGGTGGGATGGCCTCCATTTGATGGAGAGAATGAAGAAAAACCGTTTCAGGCCATCATGAAGCAGATCATCTCCTACCCAAAGGCATTGTCCCAGGAGGCAGAAGCAATGAGCCAGGGGTTCCCCACTAAATACTCAGGGAAGTGTGTGGGCTTTGGACCCGATGAGGAGGCTGCCATCCATGTATGTGGCTTCTTCTGTTGGACCTAGAGGGGCTGGAGAGTGTCCCTCCCTTTGAGCCACGACCGTGTGGCTGCAGTGGTGAGAATTTTGACAAATTCTTCAGTTCTTTGGGCCCTAGTGCTGAATTCAGCTGACCGTCAGGTGCTGGCCAACACTGATGAAGTTGATTTCCAGAGCTTCATCTATGTCAATTCCAACTTTGTATATCCATATACCTGAGTGATCTCCAGTCCCAGGTCTGATGGCAGCCCAATGCCTGTCCTGCAAGCACACCTTGCTGGACCCAGGTCCTCCTGCTTCCCTCAGAGGGTGGGGCTGGGGGGGAGCAGTTCTCAGATCTTTGTATTGTCTACTCTTTCCCTACCTAGGATTTGCATCCTCCATTCCCTGCCTCATCCTAGTCTACCTTCCTAATTCTAGTATCCCCCCCCTCCCCCCCCCCCCCTCCCCCCGCCCCCCCTTCTTCCCCCCGCCCCCCCCCCCCCCCCCCCGCCCTGGTGTTCCCCGACAGCCAGTGTTCTAAAACTTCCCCTCCCTCCCAAGCACGGCTCAACTCTCCACTGCCATGTGTGACTCAAGTCTCAGCTTTCATGAAGCCCTGGATTCACTTCTCTGGGCCCTGAGGGCTTCTTTCATTCTCAGTCCCCACATCTGTCTGCTCATCCCCACCTCTCAAGGCTGGGAAATAAAGTTGGGGTTTGACGCTGAAAAATAAATATACAATGCTACATAAGTGAGAACTATTATTATGATTCCTGCCTCTTTTCATTCAGTTTCTTCAGCTTAGGCCCTCCATCCTTCCTTCCTTCCTCCAACTAAACCCTACCAATTTTTCAAGTCTGACCTATTCCCAGAGGCCTTAGAAGACAATACAACCACAAACATCTGTTAGGGCTCCTATTTTTTTTTTTTAAAGAAGTCCCATCTTACAGAGAGAGCCCTGCTAAGGGAGTGCCAGGGGATGTGCAAAGTTTAGACAACACAAGATCCCTGCCCTCATGAAGGTTACAGTCTAGCACAGGGATGTGTCATATACACAAAGCGCAACCATACTTAATTTTACGCGATGAGCCCACACTACAGAGGGTTCATAAAATAAAGTGCTGCGTGAGTTTGGGGGTGAGGGTGGTACTCTGGTCAAAGGAAGACTTTTGGAGGAGAAAGCATTTGAGTTGAACCTTACAAAGTGGGCCCTAGCTCACACAGCTCTCTACTTCCTCTGAAGACTTCTTGCACAGACAGTCCGAACCTTGCAATTCTCAGCACATCCTTGTTTTTCCTAAATTACTTCACATCTATTCAATCTGTGTCCCCAGGTAGGATATAAGTTCCTCAAGGGCAGGCATCAATCATAACTTGTATTTCTTCACATAGCAGCTAGCCCAGAGACCATATCTAGAGTTTCTGTTTGTTTGTTTTTTGTTGTTGTTCCTTTGTTTTCAAGATAGGGTCTCCCAATCTTGCCCCAGGCAGTAGATTTAGCAGCCATTCACAGGCCTGACCCAATTGGTGTTCTGCCATTTCAGACATGGTCTGATTTGCCCCTCCTTGGGCAGCATGATGCAACTCCCCACAACCACACTCAGTATACTCCCTAAGGGCCCACCATATTAGTGCAGTACTTATGGCAGACACCAGCCTGGGTTTTGCCCTACTGCAGTTCAGTACTCGACCTCAACCAATCCCACCAGCCTCAGTCTCCCCTACAGCAGAGAATACAGCCACATGCCGCCATGCCCAGTCATATTTTGTATTTCTTCTGAACCACCTGTCCCAGAGGTCACATTTTTTTCTGTATCCTTCACAGCACCTAACATATAAAAGACTTCTCTCTTCCTCCTTTGAGTATGTATTCCCTCAGAGCTGCCTCCCTCCCACTGCTCTAGGGCCCAGGTACCTCTTCGAATCAAATCCATTTTGGTTTCCTGCTCCCCAAGAGCTTCTATCTTGACTTGCTGGTAATACTGGTAGAATTTCTGGCAGGGAAAAAGAAAGAGAAGGGGCACCTCAGACTGAGATTCTTCTCCCCAATTTCTAACTCTTTATTTTATTTATTATTTAGTTAGTTATTTATTTTAAGCAATTGGGGTTAAGTGACTTGCCCAGGGTCACACAGCTAATAAGTGTCAAGTGTTTGGTCTGAGGTCAGATTTGAACTCAGATCTTCCTGACTTCAGTGCTCTATCCACTGTGCCACCTACCTGCCCCACCCAATTTCTAAATCTTCAATCATCTACCCTTAGGATCACAGATCTAGGACCTTGATCTAATCCAACCCCCTTATTTTATGCTTTTAGGGGGAGAAGGGAATAAAACTTTATTTACATGTATGAGCACTGAAAAATAAACAAACACGGGGCAGCTAAGTGGTGTAGTGGATGAGCACCAGCCCTAGAGTCAGGAGGACCTGAGTTTAAATCCTGGCTCAGACATTTCACACTTACTAGCTGTGTGACCCTGGGCAAGTCATTTAACTCCACTGCCTAGCTAAAAAGAAAAGACCTGAAAAATAAACAAACATGGCAACTGATCGATATGCCTTCTCTGTCCCTCCCAAAACCTGGAAGAGCTGGGGGGTAGCAGAGAGGGAAGCCTCACCATAAGTATCCTTGAACCCCAGGGGCAGGGGGTGGAAGGAGTACAAACATACTGTCCTTTTCTCTAGGTCCCACGGTAGGGAAAGGTCTTTGGGATCATTTGTCTACTGGCCAATTACTTTGTCTTTTTTTTTTGCTAGGCAATGGGGTTAAGTGACTTGCCCAGGGTCACACAGCTAGTAAGTGTTACCTGTCTGAGGCTGGATTTGAACTTAGGTCCTCCTGACTTCAGGGTTGGTGTTCTACCCACTGCGCCACCTAGCTGCCCCACTGGCCAATTACTTTGAGAGGGAGGACATAGGACAGAGGCGTCAAACTCATGGCCCAAACCAGAAGAAAACGTGATTGGAAAATGTTTAACAAAACAAATAAACAACATAGATAGTATTAATTTGTAGCTTTCTAAGCCAATAATATGCAGCTAGCAGAGATCCTTTCTTTCTATTTAAGTTTGACACCACTGGCTTAGAGGCAGAAGGGGGTTCCTGAAGTACTAAAAGGGGAGGAGGATTGTGTATATTCTTTTGGGGGTGTAGTTCTTGGAAGAAAAAGAGAGGGGCCTAGGCAGCCTTAACCCCCTCATTTTATAGGCAGCATTGGGTCTGAAGTCAGGAAAAACTGAGTTTAAGTCCAGCCTCAGATACTTATTGGCTGTGTAACCCTGGGCAAGTCACTTAACCTCTGTTTGCCTCAGTTTCCTCATCTGTAAAATGGGGATAATAATAATAACACCTATCTGCCAGGGTTTTTGTGAAGATAATATCTATATATTCATAAAGCACTCTGCAAACCTTAAAACACTATATACAAGTTAGCTATTTATTTTTATTGTTATTATTTTTACCACCACTACTACCACTACAGATCAGGAAACTGATGCCCAGAGAAAGAAACGATTTGTTCAAGTGGCAGAGTCAGTATTTCAAACCCAGGTGGCCAGATTCCAAATCCAGCTCCTTTTCCACTATGTTACACTGTGTCTATTGTTCAGGAGCCCCCACCAGAGGACAGACTTCTTCCCTTTATCTTACCAGGCTAGGCAGGACCAAGTAGCATGAGATAGAAATGACAATGACACCACAAGCAGTGATAAAGTATCCAAAAGCACTCTGTTCCAGTTCTGAACCACCTAAGGAGGCAGAGAGAAAGGAAATTACTCACAGAGGGGGTGAGAAAAGTGATCCCTGCCGGACCTCCATCCCTAACCCATCCCCTAGGGCCATTTCCCCTCCCATCCACCCCTAGGTAGTCACAAAGAAGTGTGAACTCACTAGCAATGGCACAGATCATGGCCACAGCAGCAAAGGTTCCGGCCAGACCCTGGCCGCTCATGATGGGAACTGTATAGCTGGCAGGCAGGAGGCCAGCCAGGCCAAACAGGCTGCCCTGAAGAATGGCTCCAAATGCTAAGGAGAACACAGGACATGGGATAAGGGAAGGGGACAGAAAGGAGCCAACCTCAAGGCATGAGAGGAGGTAAGATTGTAAGCTCCTCGAAAGCAGGTTCAGCCTTTCTTTTTTCAGCACTTAGCATAGTATCTGACACGCAGTGGCTGCTTAAATAAATATTTAATGAATTGAATTGAACAGAGAGGGGACTGAGGGAAAGCAAGTAAGTCCCAGAAGGGTGTTACAAGAGGTAGTGAAGACTGGAGGACAGTGAGAAAGCCACTGGCCACATTCTTTCAAGGAGGGAGACCCAGGCAAACATTTCTTCATTTCCTATCAGGCTGCACTCTCATCATGCCTTAGGGTATCTTCTCCTTCCCACTTCGGTCTTTCAACTTCCTTTTAAGTGTTGTCTTCTCCACTAGAAAATAAGCTCCTTGAGGGCAGAAACTCTTTTTTTTTTTTTTTTGCATGCATTTGCATTCCCAGCACTTAGCACTGAAGCCAACACATAGTAAGCACTTAATAAATGCTTGCTGACTGACTATTTCTCCCAGCCTGGGAGGCTAAGGAGGCCCCAATTCAAATCGGTGACGGAAATGAAGATATAATGTGGGGAGGGCAGGTAGGTGGGGGAATGGATAGAGTGCCAGCCCTGGAGTCAGGAGGATGACCTGAGTCCAAATCTGACCTCAGACACTTACTAGTTGTGTGACCCTGGGCAAGTCACTTAACCCTGTTTGCCTCAGTTTCCTCATCTGTAAAATGAGCTGGAGAAGGAAATGGCAAACCACTCCAGTAACTTTGCCAAGAAAACCCTAAATGGGGTCATGGAGAGTCAGACATGACTGAAACGAATCAACAATAACAAACTGGAGGGAGTAAGCAGAAGTGGCTGGTCAAAGATACTCCTTTCCACAGAGTCCACTTTGCAAAGAGAAATGGGTGCTGTGGGATTCAGCCCTTGGGATTCCAGCGAACTTTTGCTTCATCTTGCCCGGAACTATGTTTCCATACTACTTCTCACCCAACTCTATGCTGTGTCCTCTCCACCCAACCCTTTCCAGCTCCCCTTTTGGAATGGAAGTTCCTTGAGGGCAGAATTGTTTTGCTTGATAATATCTGTATTCCAAGGGTTTAGCACATCCTAGTAGGCCCTTCATAAATATTCTACCTATCTATTTATTCATTCACCTATCTATCTCTATATGGAACAGGAAATGAAGAGACGGGAAGAGATATCAATCAATGAGGGAGGGAGGGAGGGAGTCCCCACTGGCTCTCTGCCAACCCCTCAGACTCCCCAGTCAGATCTCTTCTTCCCTGAAAACTCCCCAGAGAACTCACAATTGATAATAACAATCTTGACCATGGTGAGAGTGAAGAAAGTCATGGGATCAAGGTTCACTTTCACCAGGACAGCCGTCACGGCAAACATCAGCAAGATGGCCACCAGACTGCCCAAGATCCTCAGGGCCTGAGGGATCCTGCAGAAAGAAGAAAAGGAAGAAACATCGGTCAAATCTACATTCCCTCTTCCCAGAGTTGAGTCAGGGGAAGCACAGGTTCACAGGCTCACGTGGGGAGGGGAGGGGAGGGGAGGGCATGGAGCAGAGAGGAGGGCGATAAAAAAGGATTCAGGACAAGCTAGGAAGGAAAGAAAGGCATGTGGCAGAGAATGGGCAAAGAATAAGCTCAGAGGACTTCAAGCTGGAGGGACCCCTTGGAGATCACTAAACAGGTCAAAAATACTTATATTCAGATACGGCCTCAGATACACACAGTGACTCACTTAAATTCTTTGATCCTCAATTTTCCCCATACTGAAAATAGAGGTAAAATAACTCCTACATCATAGGGTTCTTGTAAGGATTAAACGAAATAATGTAGGTAAGGCATTTTGTGAATCTTAAACCATTATACAAATGGGAATGATTACTATTGATTCCAATCCCCTCATTTCACTAAAAAAAAAAAAAAATCTTATTGATAGACAGTTATCCCTTCCACATCCAGGGGGTTAGGGGCATGGTGGAAAATCTGTGTAAAATTGTTTGTCCCTCCCTTTGTACCCGAGAAGAAGCCTGAATTATCATGGTATTAGAAGATAAACTATATTGATATTATCCCATACTATACTATACATGTATTTTATGCACTTCTGAGTTTCCAAATTTTTTCTGTGTTATCTGCTGGCCTTTGCATGTCCTCTGTGGCTTCTGTAAAACTCCCCCAGAATTCCTATTTAATTTTTTATGTCAGCCCATGATATACTGAAACCACAATGGGGAAAAGTTGTTATGTAGAAGGGATAACTGAAATTTGTTTTTATCATAAGCATTTCTGGGGAAAAGAAAAACTCTCTAACCCTCTTCTAAGATGGAACCTTCTCTTGCTACCAAATAAAACAACTGAGCAAAAACATCCAGCGTAGCAGCAGCAACACTGGATAAAGTACACAAAATTCTGCCCTAGAAGCTTCCCACCACTCTGCCATCCCATAGGAAAAAAGAAAGGGTGATGACGGATGCCAGAGAGCTGCTCCCTGATCTGTGTGAGCCTGGGCAGGTCATCACTCTTTCTATTGCTGAAGCAAGGAGTTAGGGGACCAGGGAAAAGAGATGAGTCATAGAAGGTTCAATTACCTCTGATGTAGGAAAGAGTTGAGACAGGTGAAGACCAGAAGGGGAAGCATGGCACATATGGTCATGACATTGTTGAAAATGGAGTCCAGGAAAGTGGGCTTCAGTGGGGGTGATGATGTAGCAGTAAGGAGGTCCCTGTTTTCCTCTGTTAAGACATCCGAATTATTCTGGGGTGGGCCCAGTCGGCTTCTGAAGTACTGAGGAGAGACGTGGATAGTGAGGAATGCTCAACAGGTACCAAGGTACTCACATGCACACAGAGACCCACTAGCAAATCTCAGCTCTCAGCACATTCACAACAGCCTGAATGCAGAAGCAGATGAAAATCCAGCTGACTTCTAGTAAGTTACACAATACTGAAATTTGCAAAAATATGTAAAAAAAAAATGCCACTGTTCACTAATTTTTAAAAAAAGGAAGACACCTTGGTCCCAAGCCCATCTTGGAAACTAAGAAGTTATAAAGGAAGGAGGCTATATACTGTAGTAGAAAGAGTATTAGATTTGGAATCGGAGGAGGACCTGGACACATTGTCCTGACTCTGCCACTTACTACCTGGGTGACCCCAAGCAAGTCACTTTCTCTCTGGGCCTCAGTTTCCTCATGTCTAAAATGAGGAGACTTCTTGAAATGTAGGATCCTATAATATTCCTTGGATGGCTCTTCATTCACCTACACAATTATTCCTTTCACTAGTAGCGATTGTAATCCACCCGTGCCTACTTGGTTCTTTTCCCTGCCTTCCCAGAAATCCTTCTAAGATGATCCACCCAACATGTAGGGGAGGCCTTCCTCTTGGTTAACACAGAGGTGTGCTTCATTTCTTCTATCAGTGTATCCAGACTCACACTGGGTCCCACATATATAAGAGTACCAACAGTGGACACCTGAGTTTTTTCTTTTTTTCTTATATGCGAAACATATTTCCATGTTAGCCATGTTGCCAAAAAAACAAAAGGCAAGAAAACTAAAGAAACACAGTCTAACAAGTCTAGCAGTCTAGACAGATGATGAGGTATTGAGTGAGGAGCTGAGTCAGGAAGGCTTGGGTTCCATTCCCACCCTATGACACATACAGGCTATGGGACCCTGGGGTCAAGTCACCTCAGCTCTGAGTGTCCAGCAACCTCTCTAGGACTCTGAGTTATAAATGAGTTAATGGATCTGCAAGGGTGGAGGAAGAGTCCTATAATCAATGAATCACAGGTCTAGTTTAAAAAAAAAAAAAAGACAGTACAGAAGTTATAAGACTCTGAACACCATCTCCTTTCCTAATCTCGTCTCCATAGGCAGACAAGGCCCCGTAGAGCCCTGTTGCATTTTTATCTGCGCAGAAGAACAGAGAATTGAAGTTAGTCACACTCTTAGGTGAGGTCACACACAACAAGTAAGTGTCAGAGGTGGCATTCAAATCCCTATCTTCCCGACTTCAAAATCAGATCTCTGTCTATTACAACACACAACTCTGTGCTTGGCCATGGCTAAGGTCGCTGGAGATGAGTTTCACCAGCTAGTGAAGAGGAGCTAGGCTGGTCATTGGACAGCAAATACATTCTATCACCTAGACTGAACTCAAATCAGCTTTTTCCAAGTCAGTAGAGCACGTCAGAACTACGAGAACCTAGGGGTCCCCACCACACCAGCATGAGATTGCAGAGTACTTTAGAGAAGAATACACACAAACCTATTTCCCCATTCACAGAAATATACTTGGAAGGCACCTTGAAGCAACCACATACGTCAGGGGCTCTTCGCTTTTTTGTGTGTTATGGAGCCCTTTGGCAATCTGGTGAATCCTATCCTCTCTTTTCAGGAGAATGTTTTTTTTAAATTCATAAAACAAAATACATAGGATTACAAAGGAAAACAATTATATTGAAACACAGCCATCAAAATATATATTTAAAAAAATGCAGGGAGGCCAGGTTAGAATTTCTGATCTAAGGGGTAGCTAGGTGGCACAGTGGATAGAGCACCAGCCCTGGGGTCAGGAGGGCCTGAGTTCAAATCCAGCCTCTGACGCTTATTAACTGTGTGAACCTGGGCAAGTCACTTAACCCTGACTAGCTTCCTCCACCCCACTCCACCAAAAAAGAACCTCTGATCTAGTCTAATCCACTAATTTTCGGAGGAGGAAACCAAGTCTCTGAGATGTAGTAACGTGACCAAGTTCTGACATCAGACTCAAGACTACAACTCAAGTTGCCATATTCCCATGTCCAGGGTACTCTCCACTACCCAACAATACTGCCTTTTCCTCCTCCCATCCCAGTGGACAGAAACACTTCCTTCCTCCCAGGATGGACATGTCATCTAGCTACATCCTCACATCACACCCTCCAGTATCTCCTCCAAGTACCTTACTGTACACCGATTTCCCACGGTGCCCCGGGGAAGGTGTCCACCCTTTGTCCCTTGCCAAATGCTCTACCATCTTCCCCCTCTCCCAAGTCTCACCATGGTGGCAGTCATAAAGAAATTCCATGGCAGCAGGGTGCCCAGCCCCAGCATGAAGAAGATAAGCCATACTGCTTTATACCTGGAAGAAGAGAGAGGAAAGGCACACAGAATGGATGAGTGGGATGCCCCAGGTTCAGTCCCTAACAAAAAGGACAGCCTACCCCTTACTCCTCATTTCACCCCCAGCCTCCTCCAATCCATAGTGACCCTGAGCAAACTCTTGACTTGGCTTTTGTGTCCCCTTCCCAAGGAACGGTACAGTGAGGAAAGCCTTTCCTGCCTTCCATGGATAGGGATAAAGATTAAAAAGAAATAAAGACTGAGCTTTTCCTGCCCCCCAAGGAAAAGGATAAAGATAAAGAGAGATAAGAAGGGAACTCTTCTTGGTTCCTGTGGAGGGGAATAAAGATAAAGAGATAATAAAAAGTGCTTGGAGAGCTCTTGTGAGGAGTCTAGTGGGAATATGGAGACCTCTACCTCTGTTGCTTTCAGAAGGGAAAGTGTTCCATTAAATGTATCCTGCCTATCACCTGTGTCTCTCACCTGCTCTGCCTCTATCTGCCTAGTTGCAGGAAACTGCTGGAGAGACAGGCTCAGGGACAAGTTTCTCCCAAGGGATAAACACAGGGCTGACACTATATCTGTGCCTTGGTTCCCAGCCCCCACTGACCCACGGGGACCTTAAAGGCTGGGAACACCAGTTCAATTCCATACAGTTCCACAGAGAAAGGGTGGAGGGAATGGGGGGGAGGGGAGGAAGCAAGAAAACCAAATACACAGCAAATATCCCTCCTTCCCCTTTCAGCTAGAAATGATTATGCTGCTGCCTGTTGGGGGGTAGGATGGGAAGGGGAATGTCTAAGGTTCCCTACAAAAGATGGGAAATCAGGGAAACCAAGCTTCCTAGTACCTCTGCTTGGCCCTTCCAGTATAGGGTGGGTGGGAGAAATGAACTTGGGAATCCAGGGTGTGTATGTATGTATGTGTGTGTGTTTGCTGTCTTCTCCAGACCAAAACCGGCTCTGTTGGTCACATAGGGTGGGACCATGGGAACAGGGCAACAAGATGTCACTCAGGTTAAACCTAGTTAATAGTTAGGGTTTTCCTAGTTTGTGGGGAAAAGGAGGAAGGAACTATTCCCCAACCCACATTAGGGCAGTTATACTCCTCACCACCCACCCCCATATCAACCACTGTCTGGGACAGGCTGAACCACAGGGGTAGGATTGGGATCATGGCTAGAACACCAGGAGAAAAAGTCTGAGCTGTTTCCCCAACCAAGAGGCAGGGAGGCTGGGTTTGGAAGCCAAGAGGGCTGAGTAGGATGATGGGGTGAGAGAGATCAAATGATAGGTCCCTGATGGTATACGGAATGTAGGGATGGGATGGATAGCAGAGGAAAGATGAATCTGCCAAAGAGTGAATAGTGAATGATCAGAGATGGAGCATGGGGCACTTTGACAGGTATACTGGGGGCAGCGATGTAAAGAGTGGGATAGGAAATGAGATTAGGACAAGAAGGAGACCAAAAAAGTGTAGGAAGGCTAGAGATGAAGCAGGGAAGTACTGAGAGAGGGTGACAAGGGAAAGAGTGAGCAGAGAATACGACAGGGAAAGGGGACACGAATCCACAGGGGGGCAAAAGTGACGGCAAGACTCAGACGGGGCTTATCCAAGGAAGAGGTCCCACAGAGAGAAGAAGGGTGGTGGTGGTAGCAATGACAAAGTTTTCCAGATGTGCTGGCAAGGGAGAAACAGAAGCTGCCAAATATCCTTCCCCATGGGGAGAGGCTGGAAGCCAAGGCCGGCTAGCTGAGGGGAGCCAGCAGCGGCAGGGTGGAAACAGTGACGGAATGGGAAGAGGCCCAGGCCATCCTACATGCCTGTCTCCCACTGACCAAGCACCCAGCAAACAGCTCAGATCTGGATTTCCTCCTCATTGGCAGGTCTGGGCCTGACTCACAGGTGTCCAACAGGAAGGACTAGTAGACAGAGGGAGCCCTGAAAGTTATACCACTACCCCTTCCCCCAGCTCCACCGCAGAGACCTCTATGCTTCCTCTCCCCGCCCCCACCCTCCACCCTTACCAGAAACCTTCTCGACCTTCAGGACTCCTTCAGGACTCCGTCATACCTGTCCTGTGGCCTGTGCTTGGTCGTCATGGCAGTGTTGCCCCTGGCTCCACGCGGCTTCCAGCTCTGTCAGTCTGGGGGTCCTTGGAGGGGGAAGGGGGCAGAGTTGGTATAAGTCCCCCTCCCTCCCTGCCCCAGACCCTTCTTTGTCCCATAGTGGCATAGTACTAGGTGAACTCCAAACTTCACTATTTTTGTTGGAGTTGTCCCTGCCTGACTCCCTCCCTACCTCCCAAAGGGGACCCCATCATGCCTCAACCTACTCCCCAGAACAGCCAAGACAGCCACCAAAGGAAACAAGAGTCCTGGGAGTTCGCCCCCACCCCACCCCACCTCGTCCGCTAACTGTGGCAATACCTAGTTCCCCGCCACTGCCACCGCTATTTTTATCCAGCTCTGGAGCAGTCTGTAGCCGGGAAACAGGAGAGGAGGAAGCAGAAGGGAGGGGGTAATTGGAAGGCAAAGAGAGAAGAGACAGACAAGAAAAGAGGAGACTGGAAGGACAGTGAGAGAGACCAGGGAAGAAGACAGGAGAGTGGGGGAGGAAGTAGGGAGGGAAGCAAAATAGAAAAGAAGGAGGCAGAGATAGATACCGGAGGGAAGAAAGCGGCAGAGGGAAGGTACAAAACAGAGGGAGGAGGAGAAGCTAAAGGACAAAGAAGGGCGAGAAGACAAGCGCCACACAATCATCCTCCTCTCAGAGGCACCTGGCCCGGCTCCCTAAAAATCCT